AGAGGAGGAAAAAAACGTTGTTCAATCAAATATCTCATGCTAAAACGTGACAAAGAGGTTTGTTAAGCCATTACAAACAATAGATAGAAGGGGGGACATTTGTATGTATGTATGTATGTATGTATGTATGTATGTATGTATGTATGTATGTATGTATGTATGTATGTATGTATGTAGTATGTTCAGTATGTATGGATTTATTCATGTATGTATTCAACGTATTTATGTATATTACCTTGATGCATGTGTGTCCTTTTACTTAATATGTACACACACACAGCTACAATTACCATACATAGTGTATATTACTTAGGATAACCTACACGAGGTCAAACACCCTTAAGTAACTTCCTTCGCATCTTGTTTGTCTTGTAATAATTCAAGAAATTTAAAAATATAAATACCTTCATTCAAAAACTTAGATCGCCACCTAAGTAATTGTGTTGTGTGAGACTCACTTGTAACAATAAGACATAAAAAGGGAATAAAGTTAACTTAATAAACTTTAAAGTGAGCTCAACTTAGAATGAAAATATAGTCACAATAACTATTTCCGGTTTATCTCGGTAATTTACACAAGTAATATCTGAGATTTGTATTATTTATAGCTATGCTCAAATTATTATGTATTTACGCTACTTTACTTAGTTACATCATTATTGCACTTTAATGTGACCTTTTTTTGGGGGGTGTGGGGATTGCGGGGGGTTGAGGGATGTTTAAACTCATTTTCCTCCTGTTCTTCAAGTTTTCTACGTATGGACTGGATGAAGCCACTGCGTGGTGAAACGTTTCTCAGTTTAAGATACACAGAGGTGCACAATGGTCTAATTTATCACATGTCTGTTCTCTTGACCTTCATCTACAATGGCGGGGGGGTGGAAGAGTGGGGAGTCAGTATGGCCGGCCATCATTTATGTGCTGGCTGTACTGTACTGTACTGTATGTACTGTAATGTAGGCCACACAGAAAAAAACAAGTTAATGGAGGAACACTATGAGAAAGCCTTCTGGGATTTCTAGGCAGGGCATCCTCCTCAGCGCCAGCCTGCCAGCCAGCCAGCCAGCCAGCATGCAGCAGCAGCCAGCCAGCCAAGCCAGCCAGCCAGCCAGCCAGCCAGCCAGCCAGCCAGCCTGCTGCTGCCTGCCTGCATGCACTGCCTGCCTGGCCTATGCCTGCCCTGCCGCTGCCTGACTGCCTGCCTGCCTGCCTGCTGCTGCCTGCCTGCCCTGCCTGCCTGCCTGCCTGCCGGCCGCCGGTAGGTGGGCGGCCCTTTCAATTCTTGAAGCAATGTTGTTTTTCAAGGTGACTACATTAAGAAATAGAACAGACAAGAAAAGGAGGATCACTGCAGCAGGCCTGTTGGCCCATACTAGGCAGGTCCTTTACTATGCCTTCTGCAGTGTTCCTTCGTTCTTAGGTTCTTATGTTCTACATGTTCAGGAAGAGGATTCCATATCCTTTTTGTAACCTCATATGCTACTATTAGTCCCCTCAAAACAACCATTTCGACAAACTGATTTGTCTAACCTACATTTGGTGATACCAACACAAAACGATTTTACTTTCAGTTACAATACTAGGGCAACGCCTAAGTTCTGTCAAGCAGCGTTAAAAAAAACAATAATTACATGAAAAACTATGGACACATGAAACACTGTTGTTTTCCCTAGGACGAAGCTGCCATACCTGTTTCATTGTGTGTCCATCCACCGCCCCTATTGCCCCCTACCTCTCTCCTAACACACCCAGACAAGCATACACACACACACAACACAACACACCCACACACCACACACACACACACACACACACCACACTCAGACTACACACACGGGGCCAGGAGCTCGGGACTCGACCCCCGCAACCTCAACTAGGTGAGTACACACACACACACCACACACACACACACACGCACGCACGCACGCACGCACGCACGCAGCACGCCGCGCGAGCGCACGCACGCTGAAAACCAACATTCAGCGATCAGTCAAGCTGAAGGAAGCAAGCAATGAACCTTTTTAATAAATTCTTGCAGAAATGTCAAATTCCCAAGTAATTTCTTTAGTAAAATTTTACTGATTATTAATAGTATATAATATATATGTATATATTATATTATATATATATTATATATATATATTATATATATATATATATATATATAATATTATATTATATTTATATATATATTTATATATATATATAATATATTATATTTATATATATATATATATATATTATGATATATATTTATTTATATTATATAATATATTTATTTATTTCATTGTAGCTAGGAAGGTAATTTAGTTTTATACTATTCATGTAATATATTGTCTAATTGCAAAACTCTTTTCGTTGAAATTCAATATGGACCTTTAATAAGGTCCTTTTTTTTTTTTTCTTTCCTCGATATGATGTTTGTTTGTTTGAGGAAAAAAGATCGTTGGTAGTTGTAATGATTTAAACCACCAAAAGCCATTAGAGGGTGCGTCCTTGCCGTTTCAGGCATATCATAAAACGACATCATTGCTGTAACAGTTTTCCTCTTGGCGTGTTCGGTGTATGGGCGGCACTCGGAGACGTTCTCTAAGAAAACTATGAGAACGCCTCGAGTTTCCTCGGTAGATCAGGCCAGAAATACGTTTTGACGCCGCCACGACGAGCCAGTCCGTGAAATAGCGGGCTTGGTGATGCCCTGGATGTGGTCACGAAGAACCTTGGCGATGACGTTTGGCGCACCCTTTCCAAGTCCTTTGCTCCTTGCCTGCGACCGCATGGCAGAATCAAATAAAGTCACCAGAAAGATGCAGCCCAACCGCTTTCCCAGAGAATGAGTCGAAGTCTAAAATCGCGTTTTCGCTTGTTGTTATATACCCGCGTGTGGAACGCGGTAAGTTCACGCTACGTAGCACTATACCTAGAGTATAACTTCCTGCTAATTTTCAGGTCTACTGCTCTAATTCCTGATTTCGCCCTTTAGACCTAAAGGTGCCTGCTGCTCTCACTCAGTTTGATCCTTATGAGGTGTGAATTCCCATTACAACTTCTAAATGAAAAACAAATGACGGAGACATAATGTAGAACAGGGATGCAGGAGGAGGCGAGATGGAGGCGGAGTTAGTGAGGCACGTCAGCGGAGTTTCTGAGCAATGGAATCGCATGATCGAGGCGGCGCGCTGCTCTATAAAAGCAAGATGTAGAGGGGAAATTTTATATCAGTCATACAGAATGGCTCGCACTAAGCAAAAGCACGCAAGTCCACGGGAGCAAGGCCATCGAAAATCAGATGGCTACGAAGGCAGCCCGCAAGTCTGCACCTGCCACTGGACGCGTGTCAAGAGCCTCATCGTTACAGGCCTTGTACGTTGCTCTACGTGAGATCGTCGCTACCAGAAGAGCACTGAGCTGCTTCATCAGGAACTTCCATTCCAGCGACTTGTACGTGGAAGATTGCTCAAGATTTCAAGAATGACCTGCGATTCCAGTCGTCAGCTGTCATGGCTTTACAAAGAGGCCTCTGAGGCTTATTAGTTGGGTCTCTTTGAAATACTAACGTGTGTGCCATCCATGCTAAGCTGTGTTTACATCATTGGCCTAAGGACAATTCAGGTTAGCTCGCCGCATCGTGGAAGAACGTTGCTTAGGTCCCAACCTAAGTATACTACATAAAGGCCCTTAATTAGGGCCACAAGATAATGTTATTAAGAGATTGATATAGGACTAATGACATAATAATAATAATAATACTCAAGACTATTTATATAGCTACCTCCTAGATGATGTTATTTATAATAAACAGGCAAGAGTCATCTTACTTTGTTTGAATGTTGTTGCAATGTTTCCACACGACTAGGTAGGTAAACATTTCAGATAGGAAAGGGACCATCGTGGATGGGGGTGGAGGGATACAATATGGATATACATATAGATTATATATATATATATATATATTATATCTAGTATATATAGATGGATATTTAGATGGTAGGTAGAGAGATAGTTTAGAAAGGAATGGGTAGAGAAAACAGAAATTACTTACACCCCTTGTTAAGCATATGAAATCAAGCCTTTTTCAGTAGCACTGCACCAACAATGATCCTGTAACTGTTTCTCTTTATTTGCCTATATTTTTGGCCTTATTTGTTCGGAGGGAAAATGCTAATCGAAAGAATAATAACGTAGGTGACCGATTGAAAATACAAGAAGGACATGGGACAGTAAGTATCAGTTATAAAGAAAAATCTTTCAAGAATTACTACGTAATAAATAATAATGAGAATTTGTGTTTCATTCAGATAAAAAAAAAAAAATAAATAAATAAATAGATAAAATTAATTTTTGTTGTTGTTTGTCAATAGTCTCTTTGAAATCAATATGTGCGCTCAATGAGGAGCTAATTTTCCTTCTTTGAGATGTGCATTTGCCATTTACTTAGAGGAGGTGTATTTGGTTACAGCCTTGGGTGCCCTCAGAAAACAGCGTGCTTAGCAGTTTCTCCAGGTAGCAAGAGCCTTACTGCTGTCTGGATTTCGAGACTAGTAATGGTTAGTAGAACGCTTGTTGTAGTCGGAGCTAGGCGAGAAGCTTCAGCTGCATTGCGCTCAAAGATGTCGTTTCACCAAAGAATTCATGATCCGACATTGCTTTGACGAGATGCCAGTATCAGGATGGACTTGCTTCAGCACCTTGTAGATGTAGATACTGTAGCTCTCCTTCCTCCTGCGCTTCTTCTTCTTGTCGCCCTTTGCAATTGCTTTCTGGGCTTTTCCAGCTTTCTTGGCAGCCTTTCCTGAAGTTTTGGGAGGCATGATGCAGCTTGCGTTGACGGGGTAATGTCAAATGAATTGTGCGGGAGCCGCCCATGCCGTTCCTCTTTTATATGCCGTTGCCGGCTCAGGATCGAGGGTCTCGAATGTGCGCGCGTTGTGATTGGCTGGCTGAAGCTGTGTGCTCGCCTCGCTCGAGCCTGAGCGGGAGTATATAAAGGGAAGCTCATCCAACCACCGAAATACAAATACACACTCACTCGTAGCAACAGCAGACATGTCTGGACGTGGCAAAGGCGGAAAAGTGAAGGGAAAGTCAAAGTCTCGCTCCAGTAGGGCCGGACTTCAGTTCCCCGTCGGCAGAATCCATCGTCTACTACGCAAGGGCAACTATGCCGAGCGTGTAGGAGCTGGTGCTCCAGTGTACCTGGCAGCCGTCATGGAATACCTAGCAGCAGAAGTACTTGAGTTGGCCGGCAATGCTGCACGTGACAACAAAAAGACCCGCATCATTCCTCGTCACTTACAACTGGCCATCCGTAATGACGAGGAACTGAACAAGCTTCTTTCGGGTGTCACCATTGCACAAGGTGGTGTCCTACCCAACATTCAGGCTGTTCTTTTGCCCAAGAAAACCGAAAAGAAGTAAGCTCTGTTTTCAGGCTTTCAAAACCAAACATTACAGGCTCCTTTTGGAGCCACACATTAATTTAAAGGAGAATTTGAAAAAAGACTCGACTGACAACACATTAACAATAATAATAATCACAAAAGATAGGGACCGAATCGTCGGCGGCTACTTTGAAAAAGAGATGAATAAATTTATATTTTTAGAAAAACATTGATTTCTTTTTTTTTTTTTTTTGAAAGTTATTTATAGATACAGTAATTAATTAATATGGTGGATGGGCTTACATATAGAAATACAGACAGATAGATAGATAGAGAGGTACAAAAATGAAAGAGAGAGAGAGAGATGAATCTAAGTAATGGAAGTTGGTGAAAGTTGAAGTTTGTGACCCCCACCCCAGGCCCCCTTTGTTGTGTATGTGTATATTGTTTTTGGTGCTGACTGCAAGTAAATGTTGTTTATATATGTAAATATTGGTGAATGTTGTTAGTTGTTTGTTTGTTGTGTTTGTTTATTATGTTTGTATTATTTGTTGTGATATGTTTATAAATAACAAATAAAATTTTGTGACTTGAAATAATAAATAGAAGAAGAAGAATATAGTCCATGAATTTTTATTTATTATGGGTTAGATAGGGAGTGGGGGGGGGGGTGGGGGGGGTGTGGGGGGGAGTGGAGGGAGGGAGGGAGGAGGGAGGGAGGGAGGGAGAGAGAGGGTTTTTTGGGGTTTATGTATTTGTGCTCGGTCACGCGGCGTTGTTCGTGTCTGTCTGTCTGTCTGTCGTGTCTGTCTGTCCCTGTCCTGTCTGTCTGTCTTCTTCTGTCTGTCTGTCCTGTATGTCTGTTGAAATATAACAACTGAAACAACCTCCTTCCTAATCTAATATACCTGTGATGTATGTAGCATGTGTTGTGTGTTATTCATTGTAACCAACCACTTAGAAGCCCTGCCTACCTACGCTACCTACCTGCCTACCTACCTACCTACCTACCTACCCTACCTACCTACCTACCCTACCTAGCCACCTACTAACCTACTACCTACCTTACCTGTACCTACCTAACCAACTAGGCAGAGGAAGGGCACACAACGGTATTTCACTTTGTTGTCCTTATTTTTATTGGTGCCTTTAAGCACATTATTGGTCATAATTCAAGTGCCAAGCCAACCACCAACCAAAACCAACCAACCAACCACCAACCAACCACCAACAAACCAACCTACCTATTAATTGGTGGATGGTTGGTTGGTTGGTTGGTTGTGTTTGTTGGTTGGTTGGTTGGTATTAGTTACTTAGTTTACTTCGTTACTATACTTTGTTACTCATTTATTTACTTACTTACTTACTTACTTACTTACTTACTTACTACTTACTTACTTACATACATACTTACTTACTTACTTACTTACTTACATACTTACTTACTTACTTAAGTTACAACTTATTAGTTTAATAAATGCGGGAAATGTGGAAAAAAAAAGGATACATTTTTTAAAATTTATTTTCTAGGGTTATCCTGATGAAATTTACATCTATTTACCTACTTAGACAAATTAAGAAAAACAAACAAACTAATAACTAACTACAACTAACTAACAAACTAACTAACTAACTAACTAACAAACTAACTAACTGGACTGACTACCTACCTACTACCTACCTACGCTACCTACCCTTGAACCAACTGCTACCTACCTTCCGACCTACCAACCTACCTACCTACCTACCTAACCTACGCTACCTACTAACAAGTCTACATACGTCCATACCTAACGACCTAGCTAACTACAACATACGTCGTACGATTGAGTTAGTGACTTGATCCCCGGTACATATACAGATGTCATGGTGGACATTATTTTATTATTATTATTATTTATTAGTAGGTCAGGGTTCAGGCAGGCATGTCATTCAGTCATGCAGGCAGGACAGGCAGCAGTCATGTCAGGCAGGCAGGGCAGCAGGCAGGCAGGCAGGGCAGGCTGGCAGCCACCAGCGTAGCGTAGCCTAGCTAGCATCAGGTAGCCTAAGCTGAGGAATAGAGGTGGCGGGGAGGGCAGGCTGGCCTGACTGGCTGGCTGGCTGGCTGGCTGGGCTGGCTGGCTGGCTGGCTGGCTGGCTGGCTGGCTGGCTGGCTGGCTGGCTGGCTGGCATGGCTGGCTGGCTGGCTGGAGTAATTTTTCATTCAAAAACGTTGCTAAATCAAATGAAATGGAAAGAAATCAAATCAAATAAATTCTCGTCCTAAACACTGACAAAGAGGACTTCTGTTCCGACGCCGGCACATGGAAAAAACCAAAATGTAGTTCTTGAGGAATAAGTATCATGAAGATATTAAGCAATAAATGAAGTGCTAAAACAATTTACCCACCTATTTGTAGTTTCCCGTTTTCAGTTGATTACGTAATAATGGGTGTCTTTAAGTGGGTCTTGGGGAGGTAGTAGGTAGCCACTAAATAATACTACTTCACGTATGAGTTATCTTCGGTTTATAAACTCAAACGTGAATTTTAGGACTTTGCTAACAATAATTCTTTGAAAATGTCTCCTATCGATATATTAGGGCTAATGAGCTTGTAAAGAAAAGCAAAAAAAAAGGTTTAATGCCACAGCATATGGATGTTCCCAGCGCGGTACACCCATTCCCAGTACTGTAACCAAACGCCAATCGTTGCTATAACTTCGCTGATCCGGACAGAAGCGAGTGTGTTCAACGAGGTAAGCCGTTGACACAGTAGTTTGTGCGAAATTACTCTGTATTAAGTCCACGTTATTTAGGCAAAACATATCTAACACACACCAAAGTATCCAAGTTAAGTAAGTAAGTAAGTAAGTAATGTAAGTAAGTAGTAAGTAAGTAAGGTAAAAAAATTAATGTAAGTAAGTAATTACAGTGAAGTAAAGTAATAAGTTTATTTTAGTGCACATTACAAATTTATGCCAAAACACATAAGCTATACTATATTACATATTAATTCCTTATAAATGTCTGGTACATAACAATTACACACAATTATCTGACAGTTACTTAGTTACTTACTTACTTACAGTACTTACTACTCATGACTACTTACTTTATATTCGCCTTAATTTACTAACTTAATTCACTTTAATAAATGTGCAGAACGTGACAAATAAACAATTCACAATTTGTTATTAGTGAAAAAGAAATATATATTTGTAATTTTAAATTTCTAGGTAAGAATCCTAGGTAGAATTAATTTACATCACATTCTATTTACTCACATATACTCATACTATTTAGACAAATAACAAGTCACTGATCGGTCATTTATTGATTTATATCTTTAATTATATAATATTATTAATTATTATTGATTAATTATTAATTAAACTGGGCCAATCATGCTGGCGTGGTATGGTATGACAGAGCTCCGAGTGAGGATACTGAGGCCGCTGGAGGCGGCAGCTGGGGAGGGAGGCAAAAATCGTTGTTTCAAATCAAATTCCATGCTAAACACGTGAACCAAACAGAGGTTTGTTAAGTCCATTTACGAAACAATAGATATTGAAGGGGGGGATACATTGTGATGTATGTATGTATGTTTGTATATGTCTATTATTGTATTGTATATTGTATGTATGTATGTATGATAATGGAGAGAGTGAGGATGAAGTAGTTGGGTATGTATGTGCTTTATGTATTTATTGCATGTATGTGATGCAACTTATTTATGTAAGTACCTTGAGAGGCAGGGTAGTGTCCTTATACGCGGAAATATGTACTACAGCACTACACTAATACAGCTAACAATTATCCATACTATTTAAGTGTATATTAACTTAGGATAAACCTACCCGAGTCCAAACAACCATATAACCTCCTCTGCATCTGTGACCACTTGTAATAATCACAAGAATTGTCTAAATATAATACCTCATTCAAACTTAGATCCACGCCACCTAAGTAATAGTGTTGTTGAGAATCACTATGTAACAATACATACTAAAAAGGGAATAAAGTTAAACTTAATAGAAACTTTAAAAGTGATCATCAACTTAGAAATGAAAAGTAAGTACTACAATAACTATTACCGGTTATCCTCGTAATTAACACCAAGTTAATTCTGATATTTGTATTTAATTATAGCTCTGCTTCAAATTATTATATATTACCTACTATTTACGTAGTTACATCATTATGCGACAATTAATGTGAACTCTTTTTATTTGGGGGGTGTGGGGGATTAGCACGGTGGGTTGATGTACTGATGATTTACCGTCATTCCCTCCTGTTCTTCAAGTTCATTCTCCTACGTATTAGCATCTTGACTGAAGCCTACTGCGTGGTTGAAACGTTTCTCCTCATTAAGATATACCCATATATTGCACAGTGGTCTAATTTGATCAACATGTCGGTTCTCTAACCCATTCTATCGAACTATGGAGCTGGGGGGGTGGAGAGTGGGGAGGTCAGTACTGTCCGGCCATCATTATCTGTGCTGCTGTAACTGTACTGTAAGACTTACTTTACTGTACTGTAGGCCACAACAGAAAAAAACAAGTTATACGAAGCGAAACACTGAGACAAGCCTTCTGCAAATGTTCTAGGCAGTCCCTCCACGCCCACTGCAGCCAGCCAGTTCCGAGCCAGCCAGCCAGCCAGCCAGCCAGCCCAGCCAGTTCCAGCGCAGCCAGCCAGGCCACGCAGTCCAGCCAGCCAGACCAGCCAGCCTGCCTTGCTGGCCGTTTCCTGCCTGCCTGCCAGCCTGCCTGCCTGCCTGCCAGCCTGCCTTCCTGCCTGCACTGCCTGTCCTGGCCGTTGCCCTGCCTGCTGCCTGCCTCCTGCCATCCAGGCCGTCGGCTGGTGCGGGACCCTTTCAAATTCTTGAAGACAATGTTGTTGTTTCAAGTTGACTACATAAGAACATTAGACCAAGACAAGAAAGGATGATCACTGCATGCAGGCCTGTTGCCCATGACATGCAGTATCCTTTACATGCCTTCTGTCAGTGTTCCTTCGTTCTATATGTTGCTTAATGTTTCTACATGCTCATAGTAAAGGGATTCCAAATCCCTTTGTACCTCATATGCTACTGATTAGTCCCTCTCAAAAACAAC